CCATATCTCTTCCTATACCATCATTTCACTCCCCTAACCATTGTTCCATCTGCATTTTAAAGTTACCTCTGAGGCAGCCCAGGGCCACATCCAAAGGCTCCACCTATTGAACTGAAGCATTTCAAGGAAGCGAACTCTACCTTTCCACTTTAAACTGGTTATAATTTCATTTTACTGCTATCAGTTCAAAAGCAGATTTGCATGTGAATATTCTTTTTGTTGACATAACTGGAACCTTCCATTCTGACTCCCAACAGTGTCAAAATCCTCCCACCTCAGATTTCCTCAGGCTCCCAAGGTAGCCCTTTCAGGAGAAATCTGGAGTGGAGTTCACAGTCTCATCATTTTATTTGACCCTAAGCTAAGCCTCTCACTTCACATCCTGTTTATTCCCCAATTACATTCTTCCACCAATCAAACATACTCTGCTTATTATCGCTGCATCTGGCCACCACTAATATCTTTTCCAGCTCCAGATCCCTACACAATATCCTCTGCTACTAGGTTGCTAATCATTTACTCTATATTGTTGTGCAACCCAGAGTTACACTCCTGACAAATTCTTGCACTGAGATTAGCAAAGAAACAACTTGAGTAATAGAATCATTTTCACATCACTATGTTCAAAACTATTTGGAAGCAATGTATTGGTAGAGATATATTGCAGAGATAATGCTGCCACCATTTGCTGGCTGTTAACATGATTGCTTTGATTGTCTGGCAGTGATTGTGAACTCACCGAGCACTGAAATCACTGGAAAAGCACATATTGAAACACAATGCACTAGCAACAATACTGCAGACAATAAGACTGTTAGGTACTACTGGCGTAGAGTGGGAGCTCTGCAGCGTGCAACGTAAGCTGCAAAAGTCCTAATAAGCTTTGTAACCTAAAAATAAATTTGCATGACACACATGCTGCCTGCAGTGAAAAAAAACACTTGACTAGAATAAGCATATTTATCCTAATACCAGGATAATAGGCAAATGAATGACCTGACCTATACAGTTCGTGATGTCAATGAGCAATTGTCCAGCTTACTGCTGATTCAGTACCACAGAATAATCTGTCCTAATAGTGTGGGATTCTGTTTGAGCCTGCTGAGAGCCAAGGATATTAGATTACAGGCCACCTTAAGGTGTTTATGTGCATGTGGAACATCATTGACCCAGCATTTGTTTATGATTTTGCATCATTATTATTAATTCCCCCCAGTTATTTTGCAAGTCCTTTGACAAGGCTATTTTGCACTGTAAAGATAGCTGTCACGATATGATACACTGCATCCAGACAAAACAAAATATAACATATAATTGAGATAAAGAGGGGAGAAATCAGACCAGTAAAAATGTTTGTAAATCCCAAGCTTCATTGGTAATCCATGAAATGCATTCTCCCACTATGACTGTTATACAGTAAATGATCAAGCAGGTTAAAAGCTTCCCCTAATATTTATTCTGTTACATTGTAAACATTTATTTAAGAGTTGTTTGTCTTGTCACATTACAAGTTTAAGGATTTATTATCCCCTTAAGATTGTCCAAAGTTAAAAGCAATGCAGATGAACACACACACACATTCAACAAACTCAGATTTGTACTTTTCAGAGTATAATATATTCACTCACTATAATCTGATCTAAGTTGCACATTCATTTATTACATGAGTGAAATAAAGCAAAGTAAACTTCAGCGATAGTAAGAACTGCAGATGCTGGAGTCAGAGATAACACAGTGTGAAGCTGGATGAACACAGCAGGCCAAGCAGCATCAGAGGAGCAGGAAAGCTGATGTTTCGGGTCGGGACACTTCTTCAGAAATTGACCCATTTCTGAAGAAGGGTCCCGACCCAAAACGTCAGCTTTTCTGCTTCTCTGATGCTTCCTGGCCGAAAGTAAGTTTTAAGATTTTTTGCTTAAATCGATAAGCTATGTTTGTGATCTGTCAGTTGCAAGTAAATATGAAGCAAATAGAATGTATTCTTACACTCCTATTCATGCATTGATTTAGTTTAAAGCAATGGATTACAGGTACCTCTGTACATTGTCCAATTAGTTATCCTATGAAATAGGATAGCAAATGTTTGCCAATGGCGAGCACTTCAGTTAAGACCAACTCTGTGCTCATCTGGCATCAATACAGGTGGACAATTCAGCAGGAATGACTGGCTAGGGATAAAGAGTTGGAATACAGGCTTGGGAAAGGGTACGGAGAATCAGCTAATATTCTATTGTCTTATAACAGACAGGGATTTAGACTGGAAGCTTCCTATGCGCATGGCTCACTGTTACTCTGCAATTGAGACTGTGACACTTCTCCAGGTGAAATGGCTGGGGTGGGCCTGTCGGGGGGAATGGGGGGAGGTCTTTCCTTGATGGAGTTCTTTAATATTATGCAGTGGTTTGATCAGGTAAGCACACGGAAGATGTTTCCACTTATTGTAAATCCAAAAGTGGGGTTATAATATTGAATCATTACACATAAATCAAAAAAGTAATTCAGAAGGTACTTCTTTAATGAGAATTGGTTAGAATGTGGATCTTCCTAGGGCAGGGAGTATTTGAGGTGAATGGTATTGATATGTTTAAGAGGAACTGACTTAAACATGTAAGGGAAAAAGCCATAGAAGATTATGCTGACTGACTTAGATGAAGTCCGTGGGGTGGGGGGGCTGGTGTTGAGGGTGGAAGCAAGAGACTCTGTGGAACATAAACACCAGTTTAGACCTTTTGAGCCAAATGGCCTGTTTCTTTGATAATTCTACAAGATACATTGTAAATATTTGCTTTGACTATCAGTAACTGAAGTGTGACAAATACACATTAATGTTCTCTCAAAAAACTGATAGCTTGCTTTTTAGACCTACTATGGTCATTATTCTGGAAATGTCTCTTTTTCTCCTCTGCTCCATCTATAACTTTCATTCTTTTCCAGCTTTCAATGCTGAAATTGAGATTTTACTCACTGTTTATATTCTTAAAATTAATTCTCAGAATATAAGAATTGCCAAGGTCACATTTATTACCTGTCCCTAGCTGTCCTGAGATGATTGTAGCAAGCGTTCTTCTTGAATTTACAGCAATTCAGAAAACTGAATGCATTGCTGGCCATGTTGGAAGCTTTGGCAAAGATCTGTAGCTTGGGTTGTGGATGAGGTTGTTGGCTTGCTTGCCGAGCTGGCTCGGTTTTGTTCAGACGTTTATATGGCTTATCCAGTTTTGACTATAAGTCCATAAGACACAGGAGCAGAAATTGGACTATTCACCATGCTAGGTAACATCATCAGTGGAGCCTCTGATGAAGCGATGTTATTCTACTCTATTTGGAATTCCAAACAGTGTAGAATAACATTGCTTCATCGGAAGTTCCACTGATGATGTTACCTAGCATGGTGAATAGTCCAATTTCTGCTCCTGTGTCTTATGGACTTATAGTCAAAACTGGATAAGCCATATAAAGCTTCAAGAATGCCCTGCCATTTAGAAGATTATGCTAATCTGACCGTAACCACATTCCTGCCTATTCTTAATAACCTTTCATCCCTTCACTTACAAATAATTAATCCATTTCTGCCCTAAAAATATTCAAGACTCTGCTTCCACCACCTTTTGAAGAAGAAAGTCCTAAAGACTTACAAGGAAGTGAAAGTAAACAAAATATCACCTCTATCTTAAATGGGCAATGTCTTGCTTTTCTATGGTGATAGCCAGTTCTGTCCACATCCAATCTTTTAGAGATCCTTTATCAATGTTGCAATCAAATCCTCTTTTACACTTATAAACTCTAGCAGATCCAAGCCCAGCCTGTCCAGAGCTTTCTTATAAGACAATCTTCCCGTTTGAGGTATTAGTTGAGTCAAATTCTCTGAACTGCTACCAACTTATATCTATCCTTCCTTAGGTAAGGACACCAATTACTTTAGCCTGTTCTTCAGATGTGATCTTACCAGGGGTTGATCCCCTGGCTTGATGGTAATGGTAAACTGGGGGATCTGCCAGGCCATGAAGTTTTTAATGGTCAATGGACTCCAAACGTTAACACTGCTTTTTCTCCACAGACCTGCCAGACTTGCAATTTCTGTTTTTGCTTCAGATTTCCAGCATCCACAGTTCTTTGTTTTATTTCATGAAGTTTTCAAGTTGTGTTTGAGTACAATTCTGCTGCACTAGCAGCATGTCCAGTCTTGAGTTGCTTGATCAATTGAAATCTACCCCATCAGCAGCATGGTGGAGCCATATAACACCATCCTCAATTCAAAGGCAGGACATTGTCACCACAAGGACTGTGTGGTTGCCATACTGAAACTGTCATGGATTGATACATCTGCTACAGGTAGACGGCTGAGGATGAGATCACGTAGGTTTTTCCTTCTTGGCTCTCTCACCACTTGCTGGAGAACCAACCAGGCAGCTATTTCCTTGAGGACTCAGTCAGTGGTGGTGCTATTTCAGCTACATTTGCTGACGGACATTGAAATGGAGTACATTCTGTGCTCTTGCAAGTCTCAGTGCTTCCTTCAAGTAATGTTCAACATGGAGAATTGATTCATCCTGTGGGTGGTAATAAAGAGCAGGTTTCCTTATCCATGTATGAACTAATCCCATGAGACTTTATTGAGTCTAGAGTCAATGTTAAGGACTCCCAGGTTAATGTCCTCCTGATTGTATACCACTGTGCTGCTATCTCTGGTGTCCTATCTCACTGCTAGGGATGGTGCTGATGGGCATTGTAAGGATTACTGTGAGAGTGAATGTGTCAGACTGTTGCTAACTAGTCAATGAGACAGCACTCCCAATTTTGGCACAAGCCCCCAGATGTTAGAGAGACTGCCAGTTCAACACGACTGCAAGTGCTGTTGTCAATTCTGGTGCCTTGGCCAACATCCAGCAGTCTGGTCAGTTTCAATCCTTTTCATCACTTTTGAATTTTATTCAAATTTCACCTTATGTTGCTGTTATCTGTTACACTTTCAGGTATCTTTCATTACATACATATCCAGAATGGAACATGGACAAAGCTGGGATGAAGATGTGGAACCTGATTCAAACTTTGAAATGTCAGCTATGAACACAGGTAATTGAACAGAATGCACTCTACACTGGTGTACTGACAGATCATACAACAAGGTGGCCAAGATGTTTGTTGAAATCCAAGAGATCCTTACGTAAATAGGAGCCAAGTACTCCTTGAGTAAGAGAAATACAATTCACAGGCAAAAATTACTCTTCCACATTTCTGTTCGGTTGGTCCCAGAATTGCTAAGTTAGGAGTTGGGGAATGTGCATTATACTTTGAGGATTTTGTCAGACTTTTGTTTTAAATATTTTGACTTGCATGTTTCTGGCTACCTCAGGAGTAAGGTCCTGGATCTCTTATGTTCTACAATGTGTTTTCACTTAGCTAACCGCATTGTGTGCCTGGGGCACGAATAATGAACACAGCAGTTTATTGCTCCTCCAGAGCTGTTACATAACCTCCATTGTCTTTTAAAAGAAAACATTAGGCATTCTACATGGACAAAATCTTAAAAAAAAAGAAATAAACTAAAATATAGTGGGAACAAAAACAGAAATTGCTAGAAAAGCTCAGCAGGTCAGACAACATCTATGGACAGAAAGCAGAGTTAATGTTTTAGGTCCAGTGACCTTTCCTCAGAACATTTACTCTGTTTTTCTCTCCACAGATACTGCCACAACTGCTAGGTTTTCCAGCATTTTCTGTTTTTGTTTCTGATTTCCAGCGTCTGCAGTTCTTTGGGATTTTGTTTTGAAGATACAGTGGATCCCAACTTTAGGTCACCCCACTGAATGTTGCATCATTTTGTTTCAGGTCTTCAGGCTCTGTTTTTCCAAACAAGGGTCATCTTTGTTTAATATCATTGTCACCCTCCATGTCCTGAGTGTGTCATTACATGTCAATGGTATCATAGCACATTGGAGCGACTACAAAATATTCATCTTAACAGTGCTGTTGTAGCGAATGGTGCACATACACAATGCAATTTCACTGTTTTAAAACAAAACCCAGATCCCACGTTTTCAGGAGGTGTGTAAAGTATCCAAAGCAAAAGGTTTTTTTGCAAGAAACCTTGACCTTCATCTCTATGAAAGAAACATCAATTTCTTGACTCAAACTGATTTTGATTTTGGCATCTCAGGAGTGCCTGCTGTGTGTAAATAACAGAAGCTACTGAAGTCGACATGGTGCTTGCTATTGCACAGAGGATCAGTAAGATTGATTTCATTGTCTCAAGGCTTATTTGGGTTAGAAATAAAAGGTGCTCCCTTCAGGAGATAGGCTTTTACTTTGCAAGATATTTCTCCTCAGAATGCAGCGTGCTGCACATGTATGGTGTGTATATCAACTGTTCATGATCTTTTCTAGGTCCGAAATGTCTGCAGGGATGTAACTGGCTTCAATATTGATTCAACATGATGCTTTACTTAAGGTTGTTTCACTTAAGGTTGAAGTTTTCTGGGATGCAATCACAAGTTTAAGTAAGGACTGACTGTACTATAAATACAAAGCATAAAGGTTATTGTGTCAAAACAAAAATTCCATTGCTAACTAGATGTTTATAATATAATTAATCCAATAGTTGTTGTTTTCCCTCAGTATCACAAAATAATCACACTCCTCATCACCCTTAGGGGTTTCCTTCCTCCTTACTATCTAGGGCATATAACCAAGTTGTTTTTGTTACCAGCCTCTCAATTTGGTAGCATGGAGTGATAAAAATTGGTGTCAATTTAAATTTAACTCAAGCTGATGATATAAGCAAACTTTGGTCTTCATATTTAGGACTTATCCCCCAACCAGAAAGCAATTCTGACTTCTGATTGTTTGGTCAAGCAAAGAGAGTAAATGCCAAAAATGATGTAAATACAAAAAGTCATTGAAGCTTTGCAGACTGTTGAATCAGGATAAGAGAGTAGCATGTGGCCCCTGCAGCCTGGAATTTGGATTCCCTGTATTAACAGTTTTTTACAATTCAAGCCTTGTTTCAACTATTCCCTCCTTGATATCCAGTTCCCTCTTGCTCGCTTCAATCGTTGGTGCATTCCTGTACAAGAATTTTCATGATCAATATTCAAAATAAGTACATATGCACCCAAGGGTAAAACAAAACTAATGAATATATTTAGTTAAGTATGAGGGAGAATGTACACGCAGGAAATGTGAATATGTTATGATGAAGTAAAGTTGCTGGAAGAAGTGTGGAGCAAAGACACTGCCAAACTTTTAGGCGGTGACATTCTTAAATTTTACATGACTTAGCTGATGTCTTGCGCATATGAATAGAAGAAGCAGCATTATAACCAATAATTGTGTTTCAGGTCCGAAAGGGGTAATAAATGATTGGAGGAAGTTTAAGCTGGAGAGTGAAGACCATGAAACCACTACTTCAAACAAAAGACAACTCCTTAGACAACTGTCATCACCATATCGATCTCTCAGTAAGGACAAAGACACAAGAGAGAAATTTAATCGTAAGGTAAGTTAAAATGAGCAGGACAGCTGCTGGTACAGCAGTGTATACAGTATTCAAAACAAAACAAAACAGGTTAAATGGAGGCAGCAACTTGTGGAAGGGATCGGATAATAGGGATGAATGAAACTTGGCCACATAGAGATTGGGATTTGCAAACAAATTTTGCAGCATATGACACATTTGGAAAAGCAAGGAAGGAGAAGTGAAGAAACTATACTATTACATATTGGAAGCTGATTATAGGGTGGCACGGTGGCTCAGTGGTTAGTACTGCTGCCTCACAGCGCCAGGGACATAGGTTTGACTCCACCATCGGGCGATTGTCTGTGTGGAGTTTACACATTCTCCCCGTGTCTGCGTGGGTTTCCTCCCATAGTCCAAAGATGTGCAGGCTAGCTGGATTGGCCATGCTAAATTGCTCGTAGTGTTCAGGGATGTGTAGATTAGATGTTTTAGCCATGGAAAATGTAAGGTTACATGGAAAGGGCAGGGGGATTGGTCTGGGTGGGGTGCTCTTCAGAGGTTCAGTGTGGGTCTGTTGAGCCGAAGGGCCTATCCTCACACTATAGGGATCCTATGAAAAAGGTATAGCTACCAGTGAAATTAATATAGAACCAATGTTTATTGAGTTAAAGTGTTGAAGGGATCCATCAAAATTAACAGGAATATTTATAGATCACCAAATAGTTGCATGGAATTGAAAGGAAGCAACATGTCGACAAATCTAAAAGGTGAAAAGCAGGGAGTTTTCAATGACTGTCAATAAACAAAGCAGCAGCACATGACTCTGTTCTCACTCAGTACATAAGAGACCCAACAAGAAAAGAATCAATGTAAGATTTTCTATTTAACCAGAACTGGACGAAGGGGTAAGCATATGGGAGTATTTGGTAGTAGAGATCATAACATAGTGAAGTTCAAGATTAGAAATGAGACTCACATAGTAAGTAATTTTGCACCTATTTTACCAATTAGGTTCAAAATAGATCCTTTACCCCTGAGTTTCAGTAGGTTTGTGAGCTATTTCACAATTTCTGATTATAAATTTTAGTTCAATATCTGCTTAGTGTTCCGACACTAACTAAAGCCGTTTATGCCCAGCAGTATGTGCACTGTCTATTGCCTGGATTGGTGTGTGTGTACGTATGGGTGGAGTACCCCAAGCTTTAAAACAACGTTTGATTGCCAAAAAAAATCAAATGTTGGAGTTGACTATCTAGCTCAAATATTATCATTTGGAGTTCCATCATTATGAAACCTCATCTCACAGGGATCACATCAATGGAAGTATTTGTACAAATCAGCTTCTCAGCCTTTCATTGCAGCTCCCAACATAATTATCCTTTCATACTATGAACATTTAAAGGTCAACAACCTTATAGTTATTAATCAAAATCACCAACATGTCCTTAATAATTAAATTGTGATACACATTTTCTCAACTTATATTTCCCCCTCTGTATTCAGCATCAGAAGGATAACATTGGCAAAGAATTGACCTTAATTCTGAATGCTGAGAAGGTTCTGAAATTGAAAGTTCTTTCAAAGATATTAAAATATTTTTTCACAGGATCTTACACAAGGCCAACATTTGTTGTACACCTCTAATTGCCCTTGAGAAGGTAGTGATGAGCCACTTTCTTGAACCACCACAAACTCCTAGTGCAGGCACTTGTACATACTGTTAGGAAGGAACTTTCAAGTTTTGATCCTAATACTTGTGTGGTTTGGAGGGCAACTTGAAGGTAGTGATAGTCCTTTGTCCTTTTAGACAGTAGAGGTTGTAGGTTTAGAAGCTGATTTTGGTGCGTCGGTATAGCACATCTTGCAGATGATACATACTGCTGCCACTGGCAGTAAAGGGACTAAACGTTTAAAATGATGGCTGGAGTGCATGATCAAATTGCATTGCTTTGTCCTGGATAGTGTTGAATGTCTTGCATGTTGTTGGAGCCGCATATGTCCAGGTGAATTGAGAAAACCATTAATGCTTAACCAATAATTGACAGACAAGAAATAATCATAAAGCCCTCATCTACCGTAAAAGCCAATTTTGCATATTTCCTAAGTGATTGACGTTGTGGTACCCTCGATAATGTTATTATATAAATTATCACGTTTGTGTATTGTACTCAGGGAAGATCCAGTGAATAATATAATGTACAATTTATTCTTTATGGACCAATTCAAATCTAAAACTGTTAGGAAAATCTGATGAACTTAATTTTTTTGAATGGCATGGTGGCTCAGTGGTTATTACTGCTGCCTCACAGCACTAGGAACCCGGGTTTGATTCCACCCTCAGGCAACTGTCTGTTTGCACATTCTCATCCGTTTCCTCTGGGTGCTCTGGTTTCTTCCCACAGTTCAAAGATGTGCAGAGTAGGTGGATTGGCTATGCTAAATTGCCCACAGTGTCCAGGGATGTTTAGGTTAGGTGGGTTAGACATGGTAAATGCAGGGATGGGTCTGGGTGGGACACTCTTCTTTGGAAGGGTGGTGTGTACTTGTTGGGCTGAATGGCCTGCTCCCACACTGTAGGATTCTCCTTCTTGAAGGAGTGGAATCCTTGAAACGATTAAAATGACATGAATCAAGAATATGCTGGATCTTCCCAAAATAATGATCTAATTCCAATCTGTGAAACCATTTTTCTTTCAATCACAAAATATAGATGAGTGTGCAGGAATATGAAATGATCCAGGGCAAAGAAGATGAGACCTGTCTTCGTAAGTACCGTCAGCAGTGTATGCAGGAGATGCACCAGCAGCTGAGCTTCGGGCCTCATTTCGGAATGGTCTGTGATCTAGAGAACAGCGAGCAGTTTTTGGAAGCGATTGAAAAAGAATTGAAGAAAACAACCGTGATGGTGAACATTTATGAAGATGGAGTGAAGGGCTGTGATTCTATGATTAATTCCCTAACATGCCTCGCTTTGGAATACCCCTTGGTCAAGTTCTGTAAAATAAAGGCCTCTAACACCGGGGCTAGTGACCGTTTCTCTGACCATATTCTCCCAGCGTTACTAGTGTACAAGGCAGGCGAGCTGATTGGCAACTTCATACAACTCACCGAGCAGCTGGGTGAAGAATTCTTTGCAGTGGATGTTGAATCCTTTCTAAATGAATATGGGCTTTTGCCAGAGAGGGAATTCACTGCATGCAAAAATGGCAGTGATCATAGTGATGTTGATATTGAGTAAATCCCTGTACAGTGAAGACCAATCAGGTTAGATCCCAGTTTCATAGAGGAAAAATTAATCTTAAACACATGCTGATCTCAACTGATGGTATTCTGGAGTTTCAATGAAGACAATAAAACAACCATCTTCATGCTAAAAGTGGTAGTAACAACTGCCAATGCTGGAGTCTGAGATAACATAGTGTGGAGCTGGAGGAACACAGCGGGCCAAGCAGCATCAGAGGAGCAGGAAAGCTGATGTTTCGGGTCGGGACCCTTTCTGAAGAAGGGTCCTGACCCGAAACATCAGTTTTCCTGCTCTTCT